TTAATCTGCATCAGCAATTCAAATGGGTCATTGACTACCCAATTAGGAACATCGTGGGTGAACAATTTATTCTTTTTTTTTTTGCTCTAAATGGAAAGCAATGCACAATAAAAAAAAAAAAAAAAAAAATGATCACAAAATATATAGCAGCACACTCTGCTACTGTGAATTGGTGTGAAACAAGAGAAGAAGAAAAAAAACATAATCTAGCAGCCATTGACAGTAGAAGAAAAAGAAGATGAAGAAGAATAGATTAGGGTAAAGAGGTGGACGTGAGAGCTCAAAGAAAGGGAACTTCCATTGAAGGGCAGTAACAAAGCTTGATAACGATCCTTTACTTTCTTTTCTTATTCTATCAACTTTACATGATTGAGTTGTGGGTTCCTCTATTTAATTCAATTTGTATGGAAAGCTAAATTTGATAGGAGAGGTGAGAGAGTTGTACGTAGTTTAAGTATGTTGACGGTCTGATTTTAGTTTATTAAAGAGTTGTTGTTAATGATTTACATGTGTGTTTACTTAGCTACTTTACATACATGGTTTCGGAAGAATAGAGGGAGCAATGAAATTCTCTTTAATACTCTAGTTTTATTTTAAGGATACTCGAAGGTAATAGAAGGGTTGAGAATAATTCTTATACTAGAGTCTTGTAATTAGAAATTAAACAATGATTATGGAAGTAATCACTATGCATTGACCCTCAGAAGTGTAATTGAAAATCTATTAAAAGAAACTAAAATCTATCACAAAACTCAACAATTTATCTATTTTATACTTATGATGGTGTATACTTGCACTTATTCTTATTCTCGTGAATTTTACATCATTTTATTATATACATCCACAAGCGACCAGTTGTGTGAGTTTCTAGACTTGTTTTATAATAGTGCTCATATCAATAATAGGAGGCTAATCATAGACAAAACGGACAACAAGATGAACCTTTAAGCCAACTTGATATCCCTATAAAGTGAGCGTGAAAACAAGCTCTCAGAATACGAGTCTTAGTTGAACAAAAATATCCCCTTTGACACTGAATGTTATAGAATGTGGTCTAGTAAACTATTTTAAACCAGGAACAATTTGTAGTTGGTTTAGACTTGTTTAGAGACATAAAGTTGTAAGTCCCTCACTCTACAAAGTAGAAGGTTTCTTCAAATATTTCTAGTTGGACTCAGTCAATTCATGCGAGCACAACTCGCACTTGCAATGAATCTGTGAGAAGAGCTTTCGTCCGTTAAGGAAAGTTAAGGAAATTGGTGGTCTCAGCCATAGTATAAAGAGTACTAAGGAAACTAAAAAAGTAAGCATCTTACCTCATATTTACGAAAGAAATATGAGATTGTTTGCCTCGTCCTTAAGTTTGATGACCTGACTCACGTCGTAGAATACAAGTCCTTACAAGTAGACGATTGTCAAAGTTACGAGAAAAGACCAATCTGAATCTTAGCCTGGAAAGTAGAGATCTTCTATACTAGGAAAATGGTCTTTACAAAACCATCGAGTGGAAGAAACTATGTGAAAACAGAGGGAAGAGATGAGGAAGAAATACACGAGTAATTCCAAGATTAAGACACTTCCGAGGACAAAAGTTCATTTTAGATGTGTATGATGTAATAACCAAAAAAAATTAGAAATAAGAAAAAATAAAGGGGAAGGGAAATTGTCCCACATTGCTTAAGGTGAAAAATAGGGGGTTGACCTCGATTATAGAAGGGAGGTCCCTCACTTCATTTTATGATCCCACTTGAACAGTTTGAAGCCATTTGGAGAATACACTTTATGACAAGCTCAAGGCCAACATTTTGGATGATCCATTTGGGTCTGATACGCTCGGACTTTTTTCTTCTAGTTTCGGCCTAAGCTAACTAAGTGACCTTACTATCGACTCGGTCAGAAGACTTGTCTTGTGCATGCGACACGTATCCAGTGGCCCTTGCACATGTTATTTATGCTTTATATTATAAGATTATGTGAGTAGATTGTATGATGATGAGACTATGATATATGATGATGTGACTATGTTATGGTGATGCTATACGATGTCATACGACGATGTTATAAGATGACGTTATACGATGATGATGTATTATAACATGGCAATGTCAGATGTATGATGAGATAACTTAATATGAAGGTATGATGTGCATGTATTAAATGTCATGATGCATTATGACGATAATTTTTCTAAGACACAACCCTAATTAATTTTAATGATGTTGAACGTATGAAGGTCAATGCATGCATGTTACTTAGGGTAATTTGTGAACGGTGTATAGGGTTGTGTTATAAAGTTATTTAAAGATGAAAACTATAGAGATCTCAAGCATCTTGTGTGTTCATATACATTAGGTTACTTCCCCATATATGATGATAAGTACAGATGCGTACACTTCATCATCATGCCTTGCATGATACTCGGGAGTCTGCTGACCTCAGGATGTCGCAACAAACAGTTAGCTCGACTATTGATGGGTCCAAGGGGGTGCGAACCCCCTTGGAATCCATCTCACATGTGCGAGAGTCATATGTAGGGAAGTACTACACATCCAATTTTGTCTGGATAGGAGACCACCCTTACGATGGTTTTAACGATAGGTCCCTAATCATGAGTTGCATGTATTTGCATTCCCTGACCTTAATAGTGGGGTCACTTTATGAGTATTTTTTAAAATACTCAAGTTGTGTACTACTTTTGTTATCATTTTATGACTGACACGTGCATACGATAGTGGTATTTCATTTTCTTAGACTTAGATTAGTAAAGGGTGTTTTTACTTTAAATGTTTTATTTGGTATTTAGTTGTGTTGTTTTAAAGATGTTTTTTAACATGTAAATCAAAGTCGGTGTTTTATAATAAAGTTTTAAATATTGAATTCCGGATAAAAGCATAGGTTATGATGACAGTAACGATTTTTTAGAATTTTAGTAGAAATCTAAAATCATTACACTATTTTCTTTCATGTTTGTCTTATGTTCCTTAAATTTTTCCAAACATTTTTTTTATTTCACACCATCTTAGAAAATTCCACTTACAACATTTTCAATAAAATTTCAAAAGTTTGAGTTTAAAAGAAAAAAATTAGATATTTTAATACTCGTCACGGGTGTTACACTGTCAGTATGTCAATCTTAATTTCAGTTAGGACTGATTTATTTAAATCGACACAAGTAGCTATTCAACTTAGTCTACTTAATTATTACTTTTATGACAAGTATGATATGAATTATCCTTTCTATTTATACCGTTAAAAAATATTTATTTGCCTTGAAATTAAAAAAAAAAAAAAAAAGAGAGAGATAAATGACCAACAATACAAGAAGACACATAGGTAATCTTTATCTTATTATCATATTATATTTGAGAGATACTAATAATGCTACATGGGTATCATCTAAAGTAAGTAAAGCTTGCTCCCGTCATCGAACTAGGCGTCGTACTAGAGGTCGACACGGTCAAACGATACGAGTTCCCTAGACTGATCATCCTTCTATAGCACAATAGCCACACATTTTATTCTCATATTACATTTCATAGATATTGATAATGCAACACGTGCATCATCTAAAGTAAGTAAAGCTAGCTTCTATCATCAAACTAGGCGTCGGGCCAAAGGTCGACAAGGTCAAACGATTCGAGTTCTCTAGACTGATCATCCTTCTGTAGCACAATAGCCACATATAGCCTTTCATATTTTTTAGAATGTGGCGCCACTACATTCTCCACCAACTTCAAACAAAGTCGGTATTTCTTTCCTACTCCATCCACCACTTTATACTCCACGATTACCACACTATTAAACCTTTTTTCTACCCCAAGAAGGTGTGGTGCATGGTCGAATGCAAACTTTCCCATCGCTTCGAAGTATGGATCGCTTCCTGCATCCAAAATGGGTTCCCATTGTTCTTTAGCGGGGACGGCTGGTTTACTCATCGTCACTTATGTTTACTCGATCCAATATGGTCGTTCGATATTTATAGTCGTGTTGAACCCTCAAAACGGATGTCAAGGAATTTGATACTGAGAAAGTTCAATAGTAGAACATGATACCATGGAATCCTCCTATCTTTTCCTATCTTTTTTTAGGAATACATTACCGGATAACTCTGACCATTACTTAAAAATATAATTTAACTTAAAAAAAGTTTAGAAAAATCTTCAAAAAAAAAATATATATATATATATTTTTAATTTTTTTTAACATATTATAAATTTTTGTTTCTTTTAATGAACATTCGTGGGGTTGTAATCCGAATTATTTCTGTAACGTTCAAAATCTTTAACATAAAACAAAAAGTTATTCGTAAAAGATTATAAAGCTTTGTTAGTAGTTCACATGTTAGAATTTGTTAATATTTTTCACATGTGACGGAAAGAATTTAGGAATAGGTCGAAACAAATTAAGTATATATTCTGGATTATCGGTACGGATCAACAAAAGTAAAAATATACAAATATTTTGTTGGCCATATAGTACATGCATTCCACGTTACCCTAACTAAGAATAATATTTTAAATCTATTCAAACATCTTTAGCGATATCAACTAGTAGTAGCTTTTAGTCATATTAGAATACTACTTTATGTCATATGTATTCTTATTGTCTAAAGTAAAGTTGAAAAAAATATAAAAGAAATTATAAGATCCCACGTCGATTGGAGATTTAGAAATGAGTGTCAACGAGAACGTTGTCCTTGAAGAGGATGGATTCTGAGATCTACATGGTTGGAGAAGGGAACGAAACATTCTTTATAGGGTGTGGAAACCTCTCCCTAGCAAACGTGTTTGGACGGTTACAAATGGTATTAAAGTCATACATAGAGTGGTGTGCCAGCAAGGACAATGGGTCCCAAAGGGGGGTGAATTGTGAGATCTCATATCGATTGGAGAGAGGAACGAGTGTCAGCGAGAACGATGAGCCCCGAAGGGGAGTGGATTGTGAGATCTCACATCGGTTAGAGATGGGAACAAAACATTCTTTATAAGGGTGTGGAAACCTCTCCGTGGCAGACGTGTAAGGATTCAAAAAAAAAATGAAAATTGCCCACTTCCTCCATAATTTCTCATGTCGTACCTTCAAAACCCTTCCAACCAACTTCTCTTTCTCTTTCCCGTCTCATACCTTAATTTTTACTGAAAACTCTCAGAAATTGAGTTGATCGTGGGTTATTCAACGATTCGCCCACTCCACTACAAGGTTTTGTTAGTCCATTCCATTCTATACTTTTCTTCAAGAATTAGATGTAAGTTCTTAATATGGTAGAATACCTCTGTGTAGGCTGTTACAAACTTCGAGGGACAAGTCAAGTCAATCTCACAATTAGGATAGAACACCGGTTAAGCCCAACCAAGTAAGTGGTCTTACTATCGGCATGATTATAATTTAATGATTTATGTTGACACGTACTTCGTGGTTCTGCACGTGTCATATATTTGATATGTGTGAATTGTTTATGAATCAATATGACTATGATATGATATGATATGTATATGATTATGATACATTGATAAAACGATACGATAAGGTTATGTATAGAAAAATGTTATGGTTATGATAGATTGATAAAACAATACGATAAGATGACTTATAACGACCCTAAATTTTTACATACTTAGAGTCGTTACTAAGTCTCATGCTCATCTCTTATGCAGAAATATAACTCTTAAAAGAAAACATCATCTATAGTATAAATGTGAAAAACATTTAAAACATCCTCTTATTTCGAAAACACAGTTATGGTCTTGCGTGTTTAAATACAAAATACTGAAATTTAGAGAAAATAAAAACAAATACAAAATAATTTAAAATGATGAAATGTAAAACAACCTATTCTAACCTAAGACTAAGAATTTAAATATGAATCTACCTTATGCACGTGTCATAGTCTCTACTTGCGATGTCGTCATCCATATATGTGTGTCTTGCCTTTACCTGAAAAATGATGTGGCACACAACCTGAGTATTTCGAAGAATATTTAGTAAGTGACCCCACTATAGGAGGCCATGCAAATGCTAACACATGCAATCATGCTTTTGGGACCAATCTCTATCTCATTCAAGAGAGGCCTCCAGTCCAGAATACTATGGATGTGTAGTACTTCCCTACACACGACCCACACGTGCGAATGTGGATCCCCAGGCGGCTCGCACACCCCTTGGACTCTCTCTGGTCAAGCTAGTTGTATGTAGCGACGTCTAGAGGTTAGTGGAACTCCTGGTGTCATGCTCTCCATGATCACTCTACTCATCATATTGTGCGCATCCACACTCATCATCTCTAGGGAAGTAGCCTATGCTTATGTACATGCAACATGCACGAGGTCCCTCTGATTCCCATCCTAACATCTCTTCTTACACAACTCTCTAGTGTCATCTCTTTACATTAACTAACACATTCTCATTGGATATTTATATCATTTTCATGTTCTTAGGGTTGAGTCCTATGTCGGTCTATCGACATGATGCAATATGACACTCATCATCATATAGCATGCTTAATATGGAAAACATCAACATATTAAGACAAATGATATGCAATCATCAGACTCGTCATATCGCTATAAAATGCATCAAGCATATCAAGTACGTCATACATCGAAATATATATTATGCACATCATCATGCATCATAACTCAGGTATCATAACTCATACATCATCATATATTAGTATACAGCATCATACGATACAGCTCATACATCATCTTAATCTCATACATCATAAATGGTAACTCATGCCATTTCTGGTCTATCCTATAGTAAGCCCACTTACTTGATACTAGGTCTCACATAATTTATTCAGTTCGTATGCTTAATCAATTTATGCATGAACCAAGAAAATCACATTGGGAGGCAGCTCTTCGAGTTCTGAGATACATCAAAAGTACTCCTGGTCAAGAACTCCTACTACCATCTAAAAACAATTTAAGATTACAAGCATATTGCGATTCTGACGAGTGGTTATCGAACTTCTAGACGGTCTATTTCTGGGTTCTGCATTTTCCTCGAAAATTCAATTATTCTTTGGAAGTCTAAAAAGCAGACTAATGTGTTCAGATGATCAACAAAAGCCGAGTATTAAGCTATGACAAATACTTGTTTAGAGTTAACTTGGTTAAAGTACATTCTTCAAGACTTAAATGTTCCACTGTCCGAACGAGCATTATTATATTGTGATAATCAAGCAACATTACATATAGCAGCCAATCTAGTTTTTCACGAACGTACGAAACACATTGAAATAGATTGTCATATAGTTCGAGAAAAGTTACAAGCTGAAATCATCAAACCGTGTTATATTTCGACTAAAATGCAATTAGCAGATGTTTTTGGGAAGACATCATTTTGATTTTTTGAAGAACAAGTTTGGGTGTGATTGACATACACTCTCCAACTTGAGGGGAGTATTAAGATATGATTTTTGGAGAATATATTTTAATAATTAGTTATGGAGTATATCTTATATATCTCAATATTTTTTTCTTCATTTTTGGGAGTTGTTAGTAGTATATTTTATATTAGGATTTGATTAACAGTATATTTTATCTTATTTACAAGATATATTTTCCCTCATATTTTAAGTATTAGTTGATAGTTTGTATCCTACTTAAAGTAAGCATTATTGAAACTTATACTTTCGATCCCAATTTTATTTCTATTTCTCAATCTTAACATTGTTCTACAACCATCTGAGCTTTTGGGAAGGTCTCGAAGTTCTAAGTGGGTTTGTTCTCAATCTTACCTCTAGGGTTTGTATTGGTTTTCAAACCTTTCTATTATTTGACTCAGGTAGTTTTCTTGCTTACGCAATAAATACTAGGTCCTGAGTTGATGTGATACCTCATAAAATTATAGTCTATATGTCATCTAGGGAAGGTTAGCTGGCGAACCTTTCCACAGGACCATGAAGTCACCCTAGTTTGGGATTGTGGCCCCCATGCACGTGTCGGTTAACTAGTAAGTCAACTGGGACAAGTTTACAACCTTGGCACTTCCACAAGGTTGGGTGACTAGTCGCATTGATAAACTGTCCTAAACAGCCTAGGTTAGCTCGACAATATTGGAAACCAAAGTGAAAATTGTAGTACAGATTTTCTGGCACCGTTAAATTGCTAATAGCTTGAGAAGCGATTCAATAGCACATGGAATAGCCCAGAGGGACAGAGAGGAGCCAAGCAGTGAGACAAGGAACCGGGCCGGGGACATGTGCCACTTTCACTCCAATCTATCTGACCTTCAAGGACCTCAGTTGTGTTGCTAGGTGTCACTATGGTTTCCAAAGTTAGAGAGCTATTGTAACGCCCTAATCTTCTTACCCTGATTTAGTGACGTCACTTCATGCATGCTTGAAATCATACACGCGGAAACTCATAATAAATACTCTTAAAATAAAGTCATGGACTTTAAGTAAAATACTTCACAACTAAAAGGAAAATCCTAGGTATTAAAGTTTTTAGAGGGACTTAAGTAATTGAATGTGTTTGTTTAAACTTTATACCTGAAAACGACGACGTTCAGCTTGTCCTTAGACCCCAAGGTCTCAGTCTTCTCTCTCTCTTTCGCTCCCGCTGGATCACTCGCAGAGTCGCTGAAATCGAAAGATCAACTCAAGAAGCCCTCAAATATGCTCCGGCACCGCCTTCTCTCTACTCTCCGGACCCGCGGTGGAGCCACCGCCGGTCAGAGTCGGTGGACCAGTCCTGGCCACGAGGATCGGCCGAAGGGCTATCTTTTCAATCGGACGCCGCCTCCACCAGGTCAGTCCCGTAAATGGGAGGATTGGGAACTTCCTTGTTATGTTACTAGTTTTCTTACTATTGTGATTCTTGGCGTTGGCCTCAACGCCAAGCCTGATCTCACAATTGAGACTTGGGCTCACCAGAAGGCCCTCGAGCGCCTCGAGGTGGAGAGCCTAGGTATCTCTGGCTCTGTATCATCTGAATCTGATTGAATTTCGTGGTCATAGTGCACGTTTGGGAACTGGATTTTCTGATTTCAACTCATCCTTGAAATGGGGTTTCGGATATATGGTGGGATTTATGAGATGCTGTCGATATATTCTGTAGTACAATAAGTTTTCCTACATGTTTTTATTGGCTCTTTTGGAGTTTCAATAACAGCTTCATTTTTAATCGTTAGTTTTGCACACATTTGACGTTGTATATGTCAAATACTTGATAAATTTAACTTTCTGCTATGTTTCAATTCAGTTGCCAATATGAGTTATGCATACGGATTCTCTAATAATTTAGTTCTGCTGGATCTCTCATGACAATGTGTTGCTTAATCCATCTTGATTTTGATAAGTATGTAATCCGATTGCTCTGTTAGTATCATCTGTTGTTCAAATTCACATTGATATGATCTCTGTGAAGCTACGAAGTATTTCGTTTCCTCGGTGTCATGTTAAAGGTAATCGATAATGTTTTTCGAGGTTGGACAAATAATAAACTCATCGCTTCTATCGAATTGAGTGTTCTTTGTGAAGTTTGGATTTAAAAGAATAGGAGGGATATGATCTGTGGGATCACATTATTTTGGTTTCTTGCTCTTGATCTTCTTTATCCAAACAGTTTTTAGTCATCTATGTTCATGACTATTGTCAACTGAAGATTGTTTTGCAACTTCAAGCCTTATTGTGTATGTTACATTAGTCAGTAAAGTTGGTTCTTATTTAAACAATAGAGCTGATATTTTTAGGTTTTAAGTTATGCTTATTGTTACTGCGTTGCTTATGTTATCTTCCTTTTCATTTAGTAGTTTATCTGATGTTTGTCGCTATTTCCTTTGTACAATGGCTAAAGTCTACATGAGTTATTGTTCCATATTATTTTTTTCCCTTTTATAATCTACTGTTTGCATGTTGCCTATGATACCGAATCCCATCAATAGAATAGCTCTTTCTAGTAGCTTAAGCTTGGTTCATAAGAATCCATCCTTCCCCTTATATGATACTACCTAATTGAAGTGAAAAAGCACATGAGAGTCAGAAAAGAAGAATTTGAAGAAAGCGGGAGATTCATCCTGAACCCGAACCCTTACGGTCTCTTTTCTCTCTTGTCGCTATAGGTCTCAAATCTTTTCTCTTTTTCTTCTCTCTCTCCTGTCGCTATAGGTCTCAAATCTTTTCTCTTTTTCTTCTCTTTCTCCTTATTCTTGTGAGTTTTTCTTTCCGGGACCTTTGACTCTATTACCTTCCTCTTTTTCTTTCATTTTCTTCTTCTTCTTCTATCTTCAATACCTCCTTTTTTTTCACCGGTAGAGATTGAGTTGGTGTGAAGTGAGCTGCTTCCCCTTTTCCTCTATTCCAATGTATGTCCGTATGTAATAATTTGGTCTGAATTGAATGTTGCTCCTTCTCTAATTGGGTATAGTTGAGTGGACGGGTAAGAATACTGTTTTTGTAGTAAGCAACGGTCACTCTGGATATTTCCTGGGGGGAGGGTGTGTCGTTTCAATTCGATCACTCTAAGCTTCTGTGGATTGCAGGTCAAATAATTGCTGGTGTGGATTCACACTTGGTCATAAGATTGATATTGATACATTATGGTCCTTGGAATGTGTATGTCAGGATTTCACATTTGTTATGGACTTCCTTTGGAGAGTGGTATAGATATGGAAACCATATTTTGGGGTAGATGAGGAGAAAAGCTTCTTCAGACACCCTTCCGTTGATTTTATAGTCCTAATCATACTACTAATAGTACATCTACTTTTGTAGGGGTGCCCTTCCTTCTTTCTTTTTGAATTCTCAATCCTTGCGTACCAAACAAATGGAACAGGAGCTTTGAGCTCTGACATCTGCTTAATTCTAGGTTTCAATCCAGTCTTTCTAGAATAACTCAGAAGTTCAAGATGGTGCAAGGTCTTTACGAGTAAATACAGCTCTAATCCTCGTGGCTGATAAAAGTACGCACTTCTTATTTTTACCGTGTAGCTCGGGGTTTTCCGTTGCCCAATTGTTATGTTTATTTGATGACTGAGCTCCTGGTGGGTAAGTTCCATGGACTTTGTTAGATTTTGAGAGAACTTGTGGGTTGTAGGTGTTGAGGTTTTCTGTGTTATTTTCCCGGGCTTTTTGTGCTTGCAGGTTGCAAGTCTTCTAGTTTTAAATATTGTTTTAATGCAGTTGAAGATTGGATCCTGAGTTTTCGTGAAATTCCACGTCGGTTGGAGAGAAAAACGAAGCATTCGTTATAAGAGTGGAAATCTCTCTTTAATAGACACGTTTTAAAACCTTGAGGAGAAGCCTAGAAGGAAAAACTAAAAGAAAACAATATTTGCTAGCGGTGGTCTTGGACCGTTACAGTTTTAGTTGCAATCTTTATGTCCAAAGAGTCTTCCCCATTCCTCCATTCCGAGTTTTCTCTGCAAAATAATTTTACAAAACACAACCAGGGGAAGCTCTTCCATTTCAGAGTAATTTGGAAAGGCAAACACCCCAAGAAAAGGATTAATCTTCATCTCAAGTTGTGTTCATGAAAGGGTAACAACTAAATCCCAACTGTACCTACGGTGGACGAGGGTGGATACTTTGCTGTCTGAGATAGCTAAAAGGGAAGTGAATTAAATATAACTATTGATGTTGCTGAGTCTTTGTCTGAGATAATGGGATGGGAATACGATTAAGCTAGTAAGCTAGTGTGTAATAGCTCATGTCCACTGCTAATAAATATTGTTTGCTTTGGCCCGTAAAATACTGCCATTAACCTAGATCTTTGTATCCCTTTTGTTAGTATGACTCATAAAAAAATAGGAAGATACGAGAGTAAATAGTCTTGGAGGCTCATTTATTTATTACTTTCTACTTGTGCTAGTGTATACTTGTACTTACTCTCGTGAATTTCACACATACTTTTTTTCCTCTTCTTTTTCCTTTTTTTTTTTTTCACAGAAGTTTGATATTATCAAATGTTTCTAAATTTAGACTTTTCATCAAGAGGTTGAAGAAAAAACACTATACAATCCATGCTTGTTTTTTTTTTTTTTTTTTTCAATACATTGTTACTAAGCTTTTATAAAAATAACCATTTAGAATGAATGATTTAGTTCTTATTATAACCATTTAGTCCAAAAACTTGAAACTAGTTGATATTCCAAAACTGTGCAAATATGAGACCCTAATCCTGAAGATCCCTGGAGCTTACCAGTTGGTTGTTAAAGATACGTGCAAATCGGTATAATCCATGTAATCGCAAAAAGAAGAAAAATGCTAAAATTGACAATCATAACTGCCTACAAGGCTAAAATTCATTCTACAATAACAGCATTTTTAATTGGAAAACATATGAACTTCTATCCTCTGCTACAGGTATTGACCCAATGACATTGCTAATGGAGCCTACCAAGCCAATGGATGAGAATGGGAGAAAAAACCTGTTTGAATGTGTTTGAAGTTGTCAAGTCCAAATTCGTTTCCTCCATGTATCTCCCATACAAATATCGACTAGACGTGGCTTTAGAACCCGTAATACGAACTAATAAGAGTGGCGATCAGAATAAATGTAGGATGTCGTCTTCATCAGATAAAGAGTTGAAAGCAGACAGAGTAAGCCTGCATTGCATGTTAATTTAATACATGTAAGAATGCTAGTATGACAGGTGAAATTCGGAATGAATAATGTCCATGTTCATGCTTTATCTTTATCATTAAGACGAAATGAATCCACGATCCATAACGGAGAATCGTGTGTATGCGAGTGCGCATGTACCAGGATGTCAAAAGCATGGGAGTCATCCATAAAACTACAGAAAGCTACATCTTTAATATATGAAGAGCTATTGAACATTCTAACTTAATTTATAGCGCACATACAGGACCAGCAAAAGCTAGAAAGAAGCAAGATTTGCTAACAGAACAAAGTTCAAGATCCTGGAGCCATGTGTTATTAACAACATACTGGCGCCAAGGCAACAGATATTCATGGTATACAGCCTTCCAAAACCAACATAACAGTATCAAAATCAGTGCAACAGCATTATACTTAAGAACTTTGCAATGAATAAAAGAGTAGATAATTTCTCATGTAATCATATACAAATTTTGAAACAGATGATGGATTCAACTTCAAGCTAAATGGTGAAATAAATACTCTAGAATTCGAGAACAGTGGAGCGAATGTCTATATCATCAGGTGCAGAGTCAAAAACAGATTTCATTCCGGCAACCATTATTATTCTAAACAGAAAACAAGGAAACTTCAATCAGAAAGGATACCACCTTCTAAATAGTTAAGAGGAGGGAAACAATGAAATTGCAGACTTACCTGAAGATAACTACGAGGAACAAAAGCAAGTAGAAGATAAGCTTGGCCAAACGAAAATACTTCTCACGTTTAAGAGTTCTAAAGACCTCAGTAACATCAATAAGATGCTCCTTCTTCAAGAACCTGGGACATCGTAACCGGATAATATACATCATATACACACAAAAACGGGGAAATGCTTGAAAATTCTCAGTCCAACTAGTAGAATAGAAACTTACATCTAGAAAATTTTAGTTTTATTTCTAAAATATACCAGCAGTAGACGTCTATCCATTACGGAGAATCTATTGAAAACATATTTGTAGGATCAAAGGTTCAAACAATAGGTTATCATACACTAGAAAATTCTAGTTTTATTCTTAAAAAAGATCAGCATTAGTTTCAAGCCATCAATGAAAATCAATTATACTTATTTAAAGGATCTAAGATTCGAACACTAAGTTGGCATACTTCAGTTGACGGAGAACATATCTAATGGAATTAAATTTCAGTATATTACTGGAATAGCTACATGGAACAAGAATGTTTAGAAAAAGAAAAAAAAGCAACAATAGGCTCGAATATAGAGTCCTTTTGGTAGTTGATAGTAATTACAACAAAAGTAACCAAAAAAGCATGAGCTACTCCCTTAATCAGAATGAAATTACATAAGTTATCATTTAACTGTTAAACCATCTGTATTTATTTATATTTCTTCGTACATCAGTGTGGTGCAACAAAAATTTCTTGTATTGTTCACAATCTCCAAGAGTGCGATACTTAGTTGATCGTCTATTTTCTATATCTTTACTCATATCTCTTTTATTCGTCGTCAAAGATCATAGTTGTAAACCACTATTCTATCCAAGCCTAGTTTAGTTATACATTGGTACTTAGTCTTGGCCAGCCTCAACGTTCTTTTCTATGCCTTTATCTTTTAAGAATAGCAAAAATCCTAGCTTCATTTTATATTGATGAAACAGTAATATATGCAAGAAAATAAAAAGAATTGCACAATTATAGAGATTAAAAAAAAAGTCTACTTTCAGTTCTTTAGTCAATAAGACCCATTCAATATGCAATCATCAACTCATTATGATTTAGGTGAGTGAATGCTCAATTTCAAAAGGTATTACCATGACAAAGATGTGGACGAATGATTATCCATTTCAACCAAGTTGGATATCGTTTAGCCTAATCGATTCTAGATTTTAGTTGCTTGAGTCAGGACATTTCTCTCATAAATCTTTTGTTCACGCTTATGCCAAAGAGGTGGCTATACCACCCGTCGCTAGATACTCAACTTTAGAAGTTAGTTCAAAACAAAGTAAGTTCAGAGAGAACACTACAATACAGAGTACTCCACATAAGTCATTAACATTTGCTTGAGGGATCTAACAACTGCTTTTCCTCATTTTTCATATTGAAAAACATGGAAGCAGCCCAATAAAGGGAGACGATGAAAATTAATTTAAAAACCATACCAGCAGGAGCCATAGACCAGATAAAATTGAAATTATGAACTGTAAATCTCGGCTTATGAGCTCATTGTGCCACCAGAAATGATTATCTAAAATTATAAGCTCCTCCTGGCTCTAATACTCCCCAAAAGCATCAGAAAATGCCGAAATGCACTAATCCCTCATACAGAGGGAGAACTATTACCAAAAGTTAATTTGACAATTATAGCTATCTACAATTCAATCATTCTAGAAATGAGCATCTCAACTTCAGAGAGAAACTATTCGATGTTCTTAACCCTTTCAACTAGTTTTCACATGTTTGCATCTCTAAGAATACTGTGCTTAATAATAAAACAAAACATATTAACACAGTAAGAAAATCATATATAATCTTTTTTCCATAACAAAAGAAAAAAGTATATAAATATGAGTGTGAGCTTGATCCACTTTACAAGTAAAGAACATCATAAGCCTCATCTATAACACCTTAGAGAGTACAAAAACGTGGGGGTGGGGGAATTCAAACCTCTGACCTCTTGATCGAGAGTATAATGTCTTAACTCATTGAGTTATATTCATATTGGCATCCATAACACTTTAGACAATAACGGGGTATCATACATAACAAAGAAACACCAGCATTATACCTCATACATTACACAAAGCAAGAGGAAAAATAAATCATGCCTCATATTAATGTCAAAAAATACTTACAAATTTATGTGGTAGCAGCTAACAGGGACGGTTATAAGAAACATGAACCAATGGCCAGTGAAGAGGAAAAGAGAGCAAAATACTCCTTGTACTAAGAATTCTGGAATGACAAGTTTATTGATGCGAGATGATGAATCATAGATGTTCAAATAATCTGCCTCCAAATCTGTTAATACCAAAAGCTACAAAAAGACCAACCACAACCATTAGATGCTTCCAACATGAAGTACAAATGTCCCTACACAATTAATACTACTCTTTGCACAATGGCTAGTGACATTGATCTATAAATGGAAACTCTAAATAGTCATCAAGTCCATAAAAACATGTACAGCAATAAAGAGAAGAAATTATCATAGTTCGCCAACAATCAATTGATGACCCAGAAATAACCCGCAGGAACATTGGGACCAATTTTATTTCTATCCACATCAAGAACACCAGTAATTGAAGAACAAGAAACAAGGTATCAACTAGAATAATATTAGTCAGTTTTCTAGTTGAAATACATTTATTATCGTTCATCCCCACAAGATAGACATACAGCCACGTCTCAAAAGACTACAAGAACAATTAACAAGGTAAAATTACATTGTAAACAAGGATGCAAAAGGAAATGACCAAGATTCATCACCGTAGACTATTCTACTGATTGGTTAAGAAAGCAAGAGAAAATGGTGAAATGGTACGAAGTCATAAATCCATTTCAGGTCGAGCGAAAGTGTAAAGGTTCCATCAATCAGAATCTAGGCCACGTCTATACGTACACCAAATTGAGGTCCAAATGCTCTGTCGCAGCAAAACGAATCTCAGATACGCATCAAACCTTCACTCCTTACTGAATAAGCTACCACAGAATTACACAACAACAACAAGAAGAACATTCGGGCTACGTTTCAGCAGACGCATTTAGACTTTCTCGTAAACCAAACAGCAACTTAACCTATTATAAAGATAGTTGATTCCGAAACTAGGGTTCATGAGATTAGAAAGAACGCACCTGGTAAAAGTTGAGGACGAGGAGGGCGACGTTGATACAGAAAGAGATGAACCAAAAGATCAGATTCCACGCCATTCCTGCAACCGCTCAGCTTCAGGAAATTCAAGAATTGAAGATTCTTGAATGTTCTTGGGGATATGAACTTCAGATGCTGCATTGAAGTTTCAGTGGTTCCATGTTGCTTCAACTCTCAACCAAATTTCTAAGTTGAATCAAAATTTCAATCACAATTTGCTCCCGTTTATAAGAATAGTTGAATTTACAAATTTAGTCACATACTTTTAGAAATATGTCCATTTAGCTGTTTTGGACTGTTCCAAAATCGTTTCAGACATAACTAAGGCTAGAGAATGATATTATCGGTGTTTCTTATTAGTATTTAAAATTGGTTTATGATCGATTTTAGGATAGTTAAGTTATGTTTGGCTTCTTATAGACTCTAAGCTCGATTTCGAATGAATGAAATATCATAGGTGAACCTGAATTCTGGTTGAGCTGAAACTAAGAACGATCCGGTATGATGAATTTAGGAGCATCAAGTTGAGACTGAAAATGGTAAGTTAATATATGCAATAGGTTCAATGAATTCTACTTGAGTTGAAACTAAGAACGATCAGGTAGGATGAACTTAGGAGTATCAAGTTGAGACTAAAAACGGTAAGTGGGCTTACTATTATAACGCCTACGGGATAGGTTCGATGAATTGATTGTTACATAAGTAACACGTAACCTGTAGCCATATTTATGTGTGATTATTTGTGTTATGACATTCTAGTGAATATTGTGATATATGTACTTCATGTTTGTTGTCCGAATTTGATATGTTAATACGATCACGTCTATGTCTTGTGAAACACCATGATGTACTATGTATGATAAGAATGAACGAAATATAATGAATATATACATGTCTCATAACGAACTTATGTCCTAATAAGCATAGAAATATTATGTGCATCATTTTATTGAACCATGATTTTTAATGCGAGACCTCATGCATGTTGTATGTCACACGAACATAGATTACTTCTTTTGTATGTTAAGTATGAACGTGTACACCACATTATTATTTGCATTCGTTTCTTTTTCGTTGGTTTTCGATAGTGGGAGAGCACCCAACCCCTAGTCAGGCCCAAGGGTACATTAATAAACCTGCATGATGGGTTCATGAGTGTGTGAACCGGGAATAGAAGTGTTATGCATTTAACCCT